GGTCTTGAGCATCTCATTACCCTAGATAAGGCCTGATTAGGTACTGCCTCTTTCTTTCCAGAGCCCTACAACCCCACATTTAACAACCTGAGGTGAGTTATTTAAACCTGTTTAACCAGTTTCCTCATCTATATAAAGGGGTGATGACTCCACCTAGCTCACAGGTCCTGTGGGAATCAATGAGATCACTTGTGTGGAAAGCCTAGCACAGTCCCTTACACATGCTAAATAAGCACTTCAGGATACATTTTTTTTCTTTTCCAGGAGATGGGTTTTGCAGTTTCTGCTCTGCTACACCAGCTTCATATAAGCTCCTGGAGGCTGGCTTGTCCCCAGGGGTCAGGCCACCCTAGTAATGATGAGTTGACCACAGCAATGTCATGAGGAGAAAGAATATGAGAAGGCGCAACAAAGAAGAGAAAGACACCTGAAGGGTGCTCCAAGGCAGTATGCGCCCTGGAAGGGGCTACCAGCGCTAAGTAGTTAGTAAGTGCTGGAGCACACAGAAAACGCTGGTAACCAATCCTCCCCTAAATCCTGATCCGATCCCAGGTTCAACTCATTAGGTCATGGATGAGCCCTTTGCTACTTTTCTTCCAAAGCCACTCAGCAGTCTGTGGAGCTCATACTGAGAAAAGGTAAGTTTCTTTCAGCAGTCAGTACACAAAACCGTACAAAGCCTTTGTTTTAAGGGCTACGCAGGCATTAATGCCTTTACAAGCTGGCTCTATGGACCGGGTGGGAAAAAGCGGAAAAGGCATTAATATATCTTAAGCGCCCTATCACGTGCTAGGCAGAGACTAACAAGCATGCGAAGTGGATGGTACCATCCGTACTTTACAAAGGGGAAAACCGAGCCTGGGGGGTTCTGAAAGGCTTGCTCAAGGCAAAGAGTACACAGGGAATGGCGAACCAGGAGTCAAACGCACGTCTCCTTCCAAGCGCACGTCCCTTCTCTTTCCCCGCCTGGCAAGCACAACCCGAGCGAGGGTTGCTAATACTAGGGAGGCGGGGGAGGACAACGTGAGCCGAGGCAGGGAGGGGCCGCGCGATCCGGAGTTAGGGGGTGCGGCCTGGCCCCACGTGCCCCGAGTCCACAGCTCTGCCCGGAGGACCCGCGGGCCCCAATCCAGGTGCGGTCCCGCCGCACGAGGGCGCGACCGCCCAGGGTGCCAGGAAGTCTGTGCCCGGCTGGCCAGCGACCAGAAGCGCCCCTCCCCGCCGAGCTCGCGCGCCCGCCTCGTCAGCACCTTTCCCGCAGGTCGGCCCGGCGCGTTGGCCTGGTCTCGGCCCCACAGTGGGTCACGAGGCGGGCGCGGCTTTGTCAGGCCCGGCCAGGCCCGCCTGGACCTGGGCTCGGCGCCATTATTCCTTCTCTCCTCCCTTCTTCCCCTCCTCCCTGCGCGGGCCTCAGCGCGCCACGTCCCCGGCCCCACCCCCGCGAGCCACGCGGGGAACCCCGGTGACGTCACCACCCTCCAGCGCTCGCATTCCCGCGCTCTCCAGAAAAGACGCGAAGGTGGTGACGTGTCCCGGGCACCAGTGCGCCTGCGCAGGCGGTGTCGGCAACTGAACGTCCTGCGGCGCCTCCTCGTGGAAGAAAAGCCCCCAAGACTGCCGGAAGCGGCGGGGGGACGAGAGGAGAACGTGACTGACGTCATCTCGCGGCGGCGAGTGGGCGACTGCCGCGTGACCAGGCCCCACCCGGCGCGTCCCGTTTTTCTTTTTTCTCTTTTCCAGCTCTCAGTAGGGAGTGCGGAAGGTTAATTTTGTGCTCTTTCTCTTACTTTGCCTGTTTTCGGACTCACCACGTTAATGTCGGTTACAAAAAATTTGGGGGACAAAACGGGAAAAGATAGGAAGAAAATTATCAGCATCCCCGATCATCTTTAACTTTTCATTATATTTGCTTTCAGCCTTTCTCATTTAACTAAGTTGTGATCTTATAGTGTAACAGTGACATTAACACATCTTAAGATATTAAGAGTTGCTTGAAAAAAGAAGAAAGGTAATAAATTTAAATAAAATATTAAAAAAAGGAAAAAAAATTTTTAAAAATAGTGTAACAGTGACTAAGTACAAAGATTCCCAAGAAGGGGCAAAAAGCACTATTCCAGCCTCAAGACTAAGAAGAACAAAAAGAGTTCAAACAGAGGAAACTAACGATTCACCCACCCGCAATGTCTAACTTGCTATTCACTTTATCCAGCTCAGGAAATGAGCTCAGAGAGTTAAATAGCTTGCCCAAGGCTGCACTTATTACTAAGAGGGTGGTAGAACTGGTGTTTCAAACGCAGGCCTTAGGATCTGAACTTTAAGATGGATTGGGGAAGACAGTGAAAAGTAGTGCTTGGGAAAAAGGGAGTAAAACGGCAGAAAATTTCCAGAGCTACAAAACCCACTTTTTGCTTCTGGAACTGTTAAGTTACAACTAGTTCCAAGGAACAAGGCTAGTACCACCGTCCGTTGGAGTAATCTTGTGGGAGAGTGCCGTAAAGCAGCTCCCATCAGTCCACTGCCCTTGCTACATGGTGGGGCCACTAGTTGCTGAGTATCACCGACCACAGCACTGCCCTTCCCCATTAGTAGCGGTGAGAGGTGGGAGGGAAGTTACAGTAACAGGTTAGGCATTAGACTTTGCTACTCAAAGTGCATTGTGCAGTCCAGCAGCATCCCTGCAGTTTAGCACTTTCTGCATCACTTGGGAGCTTGATGATAGAAATGCAGTCTTGCACTCCACCCTAAAACTTCTGAATCAGAATATGCATTTTAATTGGATCCCTGGGTGAGTCCTATACGCACTGAAGTTTGAGAAGCTGTGTTGTAAGTCATCCTGCTCCCTTGGTAAGGCAAGTGGGATGGTAGGAAGATGTGAAGGGTACTTGCAGAGTTGGATGGTGAGAGAACAGGCAGACAGAGCAAGGTCGTTAAAGGGGGATTAAAAAGGAATGTAAGAAAATATCACAAGATGCAAAGGAGGAAAACCAGGAAATTGGGATTTGAGAGATTTAAAAAAAAAAGGAAGGAGAAATAGGTTGAGAGGTAAACAGATCCATCTTGTGACAATTCACAAATAATAGACACACGGGCTGTTTCCTGTGGCTGACTTTTCTGTGTTGTCCGTGACTTGTGCTTGAGACGGTCTAGTTAATTTAAAGGGGTGGGGGAGAGCAAACCCTGACCATCCCCTTCAGCAGAGTAGAGTGGGATTTCCCTGGGTTCTTCTAGTGGAGGGCATGTTCTGGGCTTTTACTGACATGGAAGAGGGGATAGGAGCTGGCTGAGGTACTTACTCTGTAGCTGGGGGCTGGACTGTGTATTGGGTACATGTGTATGCACATGTGGGCTGGAGGGAAGAGCAGGGCATTGGCACCAACACCCCACAACAGCAGTCATTGAAAGATGGGGTGAATGTGATTGGGAATTGCTAGGCCCAGAAGACCACAAGCCGGATGACTTCTGGTACCTTGACAGACTCAGGTGGCAGGCATGTACACCTTCACTTGGGTAGGTAGTTCTTGGAGTCAGATTTTCTGGAGGTCCCCAAGTGGCTTCTAAGTATTAGCAGGCTGTTGAGATGACAGCAGCACTGGTAGAGGTAAGGCCATAGTAGGCTAGAACCAGCTACTGGGTGGACGAGTAGCGAGTTGTTCTCTTTTTTTTTTTTTTTTTTGACACAAGCTCAACTCCTGGTTAGCCCGGGCTAGAGTGCCATGGTGTCAGCCTAGCTCACAGCAACCTCACACTCCTGGGCTCAAGCAATCCTCCTGCCTCAGCCTCCCGAGTAGCTGGGACTACAGGCATGCGCCACCATGCCCGGCTAATTTTTTTACATTATGTATATATATATATATATATATTAGTTGTCCAGCTAATTTCTTTCTGTTTTTTTAGTAGAGATGGGGTCTAGTTCTTGCTTATACTGGTTTCGAACTCCTGACTTTGAGTGATCCTCCTGCCTCAGCCTCTCAGAGTGCTAGGATTATAGGTGCAAGCCACTGCGCCCAGCCAGCAAGTTGTTCTCTTGATGTCAGAGTGCCTAGCCAGGTTGCCTAAAGGCAGGCAAGTTAAGAAGGCATTTCTCTCAGACCCATAATACACTCAGTCTGTGTAGTAGACAGGAAGCTGTGTAGACATGGAGAGTTTTGAGCTGCTCCCTCCAATGCCCTCAGTGCTTTTCTTAGTGGGGGTTGCCTGTTGGATCAGTGAGTCCTGTTCCGATGTGGAAGCCATACTTTCAGGCACTTCAGGAGCCTGAAGGCCTACCATGAAAAGGAGTTGCTCTGTGCTGAGAGCAAATGAAGCCCCAGAGGCAGGCAGAAATGGGTCAGATGGACCCTAGTTCCAGGGGTCCTGAGGCCCAGCCACACCCAGCTCTAGCCCAGCATAGGAGTCACAGACTCCTATTTTGCCCAAGCTGGTTAGCTGGTTTTCTGTCACTTGCAGTTGAAAACCAAGAGTCTGCTTCATGTGGATTTTTGTCTACTCAAGGACAATGAAGTATAAGAAATTTATACCAAAGCAACATGATAAAGTGGAAAGAACATGCACTTTGGAGTAAAACCGAATGTTATTTTAAGAATGTTTCCAGCAAGATACTTACCCTCAGAGAGGCTGTTTCTTTAACTTTGAAAAAGGAGTAACACCTAAACATAAAATAACGAAGATTCAGTGAGAAAAATGACTGAGAATGTAAATGAAAGTGCCTGGCAAATAAAAGGCATGTAGGAAATGTTCATTCCCTTCTTTCCTCCTTACAGACAGGTTTCTGTGTCCTTCGGTGTCTCCATTCCATCATCTGTGAACTCAGAAACAGCAATTATATTTTACCAGCTGTTAAACTTTTTGGAGAGTAAAGAAAATATCAAGTGAACATGCAATTACAAGCATTAGTTTGAAATGTCAGTATTCCCTTGACACCTGGATCTCTTTTTCCTATTTCACTATCAGCTAAATCCCCCCAAAAGTTTGTAATTTTATAATCAGGCCAACATGAGAAATAATTTGGAAAAACTAGTGACACTGTGCTTTATTTGAGAACAGAATAAAGAGCATGGCTAGAACTCTGCCTGGATGGTCCTTAACATTCTGCCCTTACCAGGGTATGATTAACTTTTCAACACTATTGGTGTAATAAGGCTGAGTGCTGCTAACTTCTTAGAGAATTAGAAAAAGGTTGAAACAAATTCTAAAGGTGAATCCATAAGAAGGAAAATGAGCTGATTTTCTTTTTGTTCCTTTTAAAAATACTGCCCAATGTATAATGAAGACTGTACACAGCAGCACCAAAAAGGCCATTTACAAGAAGAGTTTTTCTTCAACAGAATCCACTTGAAAGTGTTGAGAAATTGTTAACTTAGCTAAGAGCAGTTTACCAAGGAACAGAGCCAGATATCTACGTGCCTAACTAGTATTTAAAGTTGTCAAGGGTTGGGGATGTGCAAATTAGCAGCAAAAAGACTCTTGTTTTGCCTCAAGGGAAAGTGATAGTGGTCAGAGGGGCCAGTTCCAAGGGCTGGTCCAGGGGAGGCTGCTGGTCTTGGTACTCTGCCACATGCCCATTCCGGTGGTGACCGTACTCAAACTTGATCCGTAGCTCGCCAATCTTGGATTGGGGAAGGATATCTGGGATCCACTCGATGATGAAAGGTGTTGGCTCCTTTTGATCTGGGGAAGTGTTGCCTAAAGAGAAAAAAAAAGGAACACTTATTAGTACAATTCTACTTGACTCAAATGAGTGTTCCTAATAGCAAGAAGCTTTACTTGGAACAGAGACTATACTCAGCTTTGATAATCAGAAGGCTGCGTAGTGTTTGCAAGTTCAGTGGTAATTGGAGTATCAGATTTCTTTGTCATCATGAAGTTAAAACATATATTTAAAAATTGTAGGTCTTTCTTACCGATGCTTCAGGTTACGGTGACAATTGCATAGCAAATATGAAACAAAAAAATTCAGATTCAATAACTTCTACCTTCTGCCAGCCAAAAGACTGACGCCTTTCAGGAGAAAAGTGAAAAAAAGGCCAGGTGAAAAAAAGCGGTTTATACCTGTAATCCCAGCACTTTGAGGGGCTGAGACAGGAGAATTGCTGGAGGCCAACAGTTCGAGGCCTATGTCTTAAAAAAAAAAATTTTTTTTTAAACTGGCCAGGCATGGCGGCCCACAACTATAGTCCCAGCTACTCAGGAGGCTGAGGTGCGAAAGGTTCACTTGAGCCTAGGAGTTGAAGGTTATGGTGAGCTATGATTGTGTCATTGCACTCTAGCCTGGGTGACAGAGCAAGACGGTGTCTCAAAAAAAAAAAAGCAAAAAACAAAAATTTTAAAAATATGTATATATGAAAAAACAGGAACAGAGGAAAAAGACCCTACCTAATAATGTATATACCTTTTTCTTTGAGCACTACTTACCTCTGACTTCATAAGCTAATATTTCATTTTTTTACTTCACTATATTATTCTCTCTATACTTTACCCCAGTCACCCCTTTGAAATTCCTTCCCTTCACTTTTTTTTTGTTGTTTGTTTTTTCAAGCAATCCTCCTGCCTCAGCCTCCCGAGTAGCTGGGACTACAGGTATGTGTCACTATGCCCGGCTAATTTTTTCTATATATATTAACCAATTAATTTCTTTCTATTTATAGTAGAGCCGGGGTCTCGCTCTTGCTCAGGCTGATTTCGAACTCTTGACCTCGAGCAATCCACCCGCCTCAGCCTCCCAGAGTGCTAGGATTATAGGTGTGAGCCACCTTGCCCAGGCCCTTCCCTTCACTTCTTTTGGTCATTTCCTTCTCACAATGACAAAGATATCATTTATACGATGAGAAACAAAGCTCCTGGCCAGGCGCGGTGGCTCACGCCTGTAATCCTAGCACTCTGGGAGGCCGAGGTGGGCAGATTGCTCGAGGTCAGGAGTTAGAAACCAGCTTGAGCAAGAGCAAGTCCCCGTCTCTACTATAAATAGAAAGAAATTAATTGGCCAACTAATATATATAGAAAAAATTAGCCAGGCATGGTGGTGCATGCCTGTATTCCCAGCTACTCGGGAGGCAGGAGGATTGCTTGGGCTCAGGAATTTGAGGTTGCTGTGAGCTAGGCTGACGCCATGGCACTCACTCTAGCCTAGGCAACAAAGCAAGGCCCTGTCTCAAAAAAAAAAAAAAAGAAAGAAAGAAAGGATGAAATGGTAAATTTCCTATTTTATATAAATATAAATTTATGTACATTTTACAACAATTTAAAAAAAGTTTTAAATAATAACATTAAGAGGCCGGGCACAGTGGCTCATACCTCTAATCCTAGCATTCTGGGAGGCCGAGGTGGAAAGACTGCTTAGGATCAGGAGTTCAAGACCGGCCTGAGCAAAAGCAAGACTCCATCTCTACTAAAAATAGAAAAAATTAGCCAGGTGTGGAGGCACAGATCTGTTTTTCCAGCTACTTGGGAGGCTGAGGCAGGAGCATCACTTGAGCTCAGAAGTTTGAGGTTGCAGTGAGTTATGATGATGCCACTTCACTCTAGCCCAGGCAACAGAGTGAAAGACTCTGTCTCAAAGAAAAAAAAACCCCAAACAGAAAAACACCACACAAAAATAACCATTAAGATAGACATGGATTCCAGCTCTTAGGGAAATTGGTAAAAAAAAGAAAGAAAAAGAAAAAAGAAAAGAGAGATAGATATGGAAAGGAAAGCAGTTCATGATATATCATTAAGTAAAAAAAAGCAGTGAAGTATATGATCCCTTGTTTCGGAAACTCTTCAAACACACAGAAAAGAATCTGAAAGAGCATATGCTAAAATATTAATGGTGATGTCGCATGGAGGTGGGTGGGATTACAAGTGTTTTTTATTTTTTGTCCTTTATGCTCTATAATGAAATTTATGATTTCTCTATAATGAACATATACTACTTCTACTAGCTTACGTGAAACGAAATACTTTATCCCATGATTGCATTTACAAGATGACTCAATGTGTCTTTGTTTAAAGTCAAGATCCAAGGCCTTGGACAGTATACTGTATACAAGCTGACCCTCAAAGGAAGATGCCCTGTTGAAATTCACTTACCAACTTTGAGAAAAGTTTTTAGTTCCAAGGGTCGTAGCACTGGTTGTTTTTCCATACGACCATAGGTTTCTGCTATGCTCTCTACTTCCACTTTAGGGCATTTAAACAGCTCGTAAGTTCCATCTCGGTTTTGGATAAAGCTACGAGTGATTTCCAAGGGCATCTGGACACCAAGATAATAACAAGAAAGGTGAGAAAGGGAAAACTTTCAAAGTAGATAAATACTTGGATGACAATAGATCTTTTATCACTCCTTCTTTCTTGTTAAGCACATTCAAATTAATTACAACTTTCCCATTTTTAAGTAAATCCTGCCAACAACCTGCCTTTTGTCCTTTACATTCATTTATGGCTTGTTTTTTCTTTATAACCTTCATTTCAACCTTAGCTTAACCACATGCCAGCTGAACCTCTAACATCTTCACGGCTACACAACTGCTACTGGCACAAACCTGCTCTAAAATCAATTTTATTCCTTCCCCTACTGCTTTGCTAGCAGCATTCTTCTAAGTACTCTGTCAAAAGCACCTACAGCCCACCTCACGTCCAGTATGCTCCACACCGTCCTTGGAACTGAGCCAGAGAGAACTCTAACTGAATTTTGTGGTGACCCAAAGCGTTACTAAACTTCTCAGAGCCTGTTTTCTCATCTGTAAAATGCAGTTAATACCAGTGCATGGCTGGGAGGTTAAATGGGGTGATGTAGGTAAATAATGCCCAACAGACAGAAGGTCAACGATCACTGGTTCTCTTCCCCACTTGCTTTTGCTCTGGGCTACTATAGAGCCTCCCTGAATGCCATCTGTTCCAGGCTAGAAGCTGCCTCTGTGACATCTTGCATTTAAAGGAGTTCCGCAAGTATCTTTAGTGCCAACATAGGCCTTTTCTAGGGTTCACGTGTAAGTTCTGTAGTTTACCGAACAACTTGTTTTTTTCTGAACATAACAATGCCTTGCAATTAAACTAATTTTAATGCATCAAGTCACATTATGCTGAATTTTCTACACTATACCATTCCTGCAGGAAGGAAAAATCTTTCTCAAATTTTCAGGTTCTGCTTGAACATGTTGAAAAATGTATAATGTTATCCTGGTAAAAGAGAATAATAATTATGAGTCATTTTACTAATGAGAAAAAATTGCAGTTTAGGGAGGAGGGTTTAATTGTGCTGGAGCCACTAAATTCACAAATAGTAAATCATCGCAAATTATTTATATAGTTTCTAGCTGCCTGCCAGTCAAATCTAAGGTTCATCAAAGTTACTAGGGGATTATTACTTATAATTTAGAAGAAAAATCCTATTTTCTGATCCAAAGGATCAGAAAAAGCATACTCTAATTTAAGACATTTTTCTAGCCATAGAGGATACCCATCAAAATCAGAATCAGAACTATAAGCCATGGATATTTCCGAATAATATCTTAGCATGAAAAAAAAAAAAAAAGAAAGAACTCTCTTTGGCATCTATAACACAAAGCTGGTATAAGATACTCCCTATATTTGTTCCCTTTCTTCCCCTCTCCACCTTCAAACTATTTTAGAAATAAATGCTTACCTCTGGGGTATCTAAGATTTGTTTAACTTGCAGGATATTAGTGATATGCCAGGTATACTTGGAAAAGGTTCCCAGTGGCAAGGCATCTTTCCGAACAAAAGCTTCAATGTAAAAAAGGGACAAAATTAGACTACCTAAAAACATTTTCTTTCACTGTATTTGTTACTCAATTTCTAGAGAGTTCAGTGCAGTGCTATTTCCTTATAGAATCTCAGCACTTTAAAAAAGGAATTCTAAGGCCAGGCACAGTGGCTCACGCCTGTAATCCTAGCACTCTAGGAGACCAAGGTGGGTGGACTGTTTGAGATCAGAAGTTCAAGACCAGCCTGAGCAAGAGTGAGACCCCATCTCTACCATAAATAGAAAGAAATTACTTGGACAGCTAAAAATATATAGAAAAAATTAGCCGGGCATGGTGGCGCATGCCTGCAGCCCCAGCTACTCGGGAGGCTGAGGCAGGAGGATCACTTGAGCCCAGGAGTTTGAGGTTGCTGTGAGCTAACCTGACGCCACGTCACTCTAGCCCAGGCAACAGAGTGAGACTCTGTCTCAAAAAAAAAAAAAGAAAAGGAATTCTAGGGGCAAATATAATAGGGCTTGGAAGAAATGTGACAAGCCAATTGATATAAATATAGATAATTGATATGTTGATTATCTAAGGCTTTGTGCTCCAAGCATGTGATGAGAAGTCCTAACCCTGAAAATTCACCTGGATTTTTTCCAAACATAATTCTCTAAGGTCAAGAAATCACTATTCCTGAGGAAAAATCCCGTACCTGTGGTAGAGTTGGGGAGCCGTTTTTTCGCACTTCCTATTGATATCCTCTGTTGCAGGGCATCAAAAAAGGATTGAGGAATATGGAACACCAGTGGCTCTGGTTTGCCTATGGGAAATAAGTAGAAATGCATTTAAAGAAACTCAGTGGACTTTCTCATGTGCAGGGAGAGATGGAAGAAAACAAATTGCAGGACAGTATTAACTAAATATATCACTGAGGTTTTTTTATACAGAAGTAAAAAGGATGCTTTGATTGACTTTTCTGAGCCAAGCACTGTCACCAGCCTTACTCCTGACCCCTTGCAATCATAAAAACACAGTGGACCCTTGTCATCACCAAGGATAACTTTCCAAATCCCCAATTTTGAAACACCACCAGAGCATAGACTTTGCTCCTTAAAGGGTAAATGAAATGAGATAAGAACAATGAGGCCCAGTAGAGGAGAAGCTTCTTGCCTGCTGCCTCCACGTGATCCACTCCTGCTCGCTATGTGCAGGCACTTGCTACTCACACTCCAGTCTAAGCACACCACTAGGATGGTCAGCACCACGAGTGCTGAGGGACTGCAAAGTTAGGGTACTACTTAGCCAATGAGCATCAGTCTTTTTCTCTAAATGTCATCTCCAGGCAAGTAAAATATTTGAAAATACTTTACAAATCTCTTAAAGAAACTTATAAAACATTAAGTCAACAGAAAGACAGTTCATGCTCCTTATTTGTATGGTGGTTAGTAAAAGAAAAAACAAAGAGAGTCATGGGAGGGATCGAGTGAGTTCAGAGTTTTCCTTAAAATTTCTGCCCATCGGGCTAGTCTCAGCAGAGGGAAAAACTTCAGAACCAGGCCGGGCGCTGTGGCTCACGCCTGTAATCCTAGCTCTTGGGAGGCCGAGGCGGGCGGATTGCTCAAGGTCAGGAGTTCAAAACCAGCCTGAGCAAGAGCGAGACCCCGTCTCTACTATAAATAGAAAGAAATTAATTGGCCAACTGATATATATATAAAAAATTAGCCGGGCATGGTGGCACATGCCTGTAGTCCCAGCTACTCGGGAGGCTGAGGCAGAAGGATCGCTCAAGCCCAGGAGTTTGAGGTTGCTGTGAGCTAGGCTGACGCCACGGCACTCACTCTAGCCTGGACAACAAAGTGAGACTCTGTCTCAAAAAAAAAAACAAAAAAAAAACTTCAGAACCAAATGGACAAACACCTAACTTCTACCTACCTGGATAGAACTGAAACAATGTCTCTTAAAGAAATACTCTGTCTCTCTCTTTTTTTTTTTTTTTTTTGAGACAGAGTCTCACTTTGTTGCCCAGGCTAGAGTGAGTGCCGTGGCGTCAGCCTGGCTCACAGCAACCTCAATCTCCGGGGCACGGCGATCCTACTGCCTCAGCCTCCCAAGTAGCTGGGACTACAGGCATGCGCCACCATGCCTGACTAATTTTTTGTATATATATTTTTAGTTGGTCAATTAATTTCTTTCTATTTTTGGTAGAGACGGGGTCTCGCTCAGGCTGGTTTCGAACTCCTGACCTTGAGCAATCCGCCCGCCTCAGCCTCCCAAAGTGCTAGGATTACAGGCGTGAGCCACCACGCCCGGCCTCTGTCTCTTTTTAAAAAAAAAAAAAAAGAGAGAGAGAGACAGGGTCTTACTCTATCCCCAGGCTGGTCTCGAACTCCTGGCCTCAAGTGATCCTCCTGCCTCAGCTTCCTAAGTAACTACTACAGGAGCAAGCCACGACACCCAGCTAAGAAATACTCTTTTTTTTTTCTTTTAAGAAATATTCTTAAAGACAGTTCAGATGCCTTTTTGAAACAAAGCTTAAGCCAAGAAAAATAAAAATGAAAGGTTTTCTATAATTCTATAAAAAGACTTTACATTCTTCCCATTGATTTTGCCTACTTTATTGAATGCAGAATGTCAATGACAAAACTATCACTGCTTTTGAGCCACTAAAATATTAATATCTGGGTACATTAGAGAAGTCACTACACACAGCAATTTTAAGATTGTTCATCTAGAAACTACATTACAGCCTACATTACAGGGAGCTCTCAAAGTACTAATTCACTAGAACTCAGCTGACAGGATGCTAGAGCTTAGGTTTAAGAATTAGTCTTGAAAAACTCTCATAAAAGACAGACTCAGAGTCCAGGAGAGGCTGATGGTGACTTGGACAAAGGTGGTAGTAACAGAGATGGTGAGAGGGGGTTAAATTGGGTGGAAGGTGGCATAGTAATGGGGCGCAGGAGGACCACAGTGACAACAGCTTACAGCATTGTCAATGTTCCATTTTCTGTCTGGAAGGTGAGTTAATAGGTATGTATATTATTATTTCAAACAATAAATAAAACGTAAAAAGAAAAAAAAATGACTCTCTCTTTCTAACCCTCCTTAGCTTATTTTGTTGTTTTTCCAAAAAGTAATTTCTAATGTTTTATTTAGTCTGCATTAATATCTAAACAAGTATTTCAAGATCTCTGTGCTTGTCCTTTTCCTCACCAGGAAGCTGTAACTAACTGTTCTAATCCTTCAAAACTCCCCTCCTGCCACAGAGTGTCTGCTGTTAGGCTATTATTCAGCTAAAGGCAGTTTATTTTTTTATTTATTTATTTTTTTTGAGACAGAGTCTCACTTTGTTGCCCAGGCTAGAGTGAGTGCCATGGCGTCAGCCTGGCTCACAGCAACCTCAAACTCCTGGGCTCATGCAATCCTGCTGCCTCAGCCTCCCGAGTAGCTGGGACTACAGGCATGTGCCACCATGCCCAGCTAATTTTTTCTCTATATATTAGTTGGTCAATTAATTTCTTTCTATTTATAGTAGAGATAGAGTCTCACTCTTGCTCAGGCTGGTTTTGAACTCCTGACCTCGAGCAATCCACCTGCCTCAGCCTCCCAGACAGCTAGGATTACAGGCGTGAGCCACCACGGCCGGCCTCAACTTAGATTTCTACTCTTGTGGCTTCCTAACAAAGCACAGTAAAACGATAGCATAGTTACCTTAATTTTTCCTATTTTCCACAAGAGCCCAGTTGGACAACCAATACTTACCATCAAACTGATAGTGCATGGTCTGATGGATGCGTTCTGTGACGCTGGCCAGCCAGTCTTGGAAGGATAAAGTCACTTGTGCCTCATCTAATAGCTGCCCACAGGCTAGGAAAAGAAAAGAAAATGCCTCTTCAGTAACTTTTCTTACAGAATAAACAGTTAATTGACATTAAAGAGTTCATACAGAAAAAAAAGAACATGAAGCTGAAACTCAAAGAAGGTAGATAAAATAAGTGAAATAGAATATAGAATATTCTGGGACTTTTTAAAAAAGAATCCACTTAGAAAATAAGAAATGAGAAGTTCTTAGAAACTAATAGGTTTAAGATTATAAACCATAGGCCAGGCGTGGTGGCTCACGCCTGTAATCCTAACACTCTGGGAGGCCGAGGTAGGAGGATCGCTCAAGGTCAGGAGTTCGAAACCAGCCTGAGCAAGAGTGAGACCCCCTTCTCTACTAAATATACAAAGAAATTAATTGGCTAACTAAAAATATATATAGAAAAAAATTAGCTGGGCATGGTGGTGTATGCCTGTAGTCCCAGCTACTAGGGAGGCTGAGGCAGAAGGATTGCTTGAGCCCAGGAATTTGAGGTTGTTGTGAGCTAGGCTGACGCCATGGCACTCTAGCCTAGACAATAGAGTGAGACTCTGTCTCAAAAAAAAAAAGATTATAAACCACAGAAAATCAGCCGCCTTTTAACACTAAACTGCATATTAAAGAATGATCCTTTATAATGGCTGTTTTAGAGACCTCTAAATTAGTTCTATTCATGATGAATATGTATCCATATGCCCCAAATCCTCTCAATAATGAATGTATTTGTTTCATATCAAGGTTGAACACAAACAGATAAGACTGAGTGATGCATTCATGGTGGCTTGCTATGAGATTTACACTTAAAATCTAAAACTTTATATTCAGAAATGTAAACTGAATGAAAATTCACTTTTTTTTGAGACAGAGTCTCGCTTTGTCTGGAGCAACAGCCTAGAGTGACGCGCGTGGCGTCAGCCTAGCTCACAGGCACCTCAACTCCTGGGCTCAAGGCGGTATCACTCCTGCCTCAGCCTTCCCGAGTCAGCTCTCGGGACTACAGTCATGCGCCAGCCATGCCTGGTAATTTTTTGTAATCTATAGTTGAGTTGGCGCCCAATTAACCTTGTCTCGTTAATAGTAGAGAGACAGGGTTTGCTCTTGTCTCAGAGCTGTTTGGAACTCCTGGACCTCCGAGCAGTCCGCCTGAGGGCACCTCCCAGAGTGCTAGGATTACAGGTGTGAGCCACCGCAACGGGCCTGAAAATTCACTTTTTTTCTAACATCTTCCAAAAAAGTCTATATATTTTTTTTTTTTTTTGAAAATTCACTTTTAAATAAAAAAGGAAAGAGTGAAATCTTGCAGTCCTGGAGTAAATAACCGGGAAACACAATAACAGTTGTGAAATTCAATGGGGCCAGAATTTACAGTTTGGAGTCAAGAAGTTATAGGACATAGCACCCACATCCTCACTGAGTGATCAGAGTCCATGTCTCAACTTGCTCTTCCCTAAAATGAGGGTATAAATCTCTGGATGATCTCCATATTCAAAATCTTGCCACCAAGGCCGGGTGAGGTGGCTCCCGCCTGTAATCCGGCACTCTGGGAGGCCAAGGCGGTGCCGATTCGCTCAAGGTATGAGTCGTACAACCAGCCTGAGCAAAGACACCATCTCTACTATAAATAGGAAAGAAATTAATTGGCCAACGTAATAAGTAGATAGAAAAATTAGCCGGTGCATGGTGGCACAGCCTGTAGTCCCAGCTACTCAGAAGCTGAAGGTAGGATGCTGCTTGAGCCCAGGAGTTTGGGTTGCTGTGAGCTTAGGCTGATGCCATCGGCACTCGACTGTACAGCCTGGGCAACAAAGCGGAGACTCTGTCTCCAAAAAAAAAAAAAAAAACTTTCCATAGATCTATCATTCCATTTCTTTTTTTTTTAATTTATTTGAATTCTACCGTTAGGTTTGTCGTTATTTTCTCTGTGATTCTAGATAAGACCATATTCTATTTCTTCTCTTAAAATGTCTCCACATGTCTGAAGTATCACCTTTCAATAGAGAGATAAACAGTGCCATAATTACTATTCATTTGAAACTAAAATTATAAGTACAACCATACAGTGATAATTTGGTTTGGAGCTATTCTCGTTTTTCTTTGCATCAAAGGAAGTGGTGAAAAATTGTTCAAAATTTTTTGAAGTTGTTGATCTATTTACTTTTTGACCTTCCTAAAACACTTATTCCTAGAATGTGTAAGTTCTTAATGAATTAGTTAATTAATATTCAATCTTGTATTATTCTCTAATTATGTACTGGTCTTGCCTTCAAAACCAGAGTAGGTGGGCAGGAATGACGTCCAGTCTTTAATCAGCCAACAATATTATAAGGCCAATCATATCATAGCAAGTGTTCAATAAAAACTGCCAGCATTGAATTAAACTATTTTTTATACATTTTATAAGGAGAGTTAAGAAAATGTTGATTCCCAAATATACAAGCTTAGTTATTCTTTTTTTTTTGAGACAGAGTCTCGCTTTGTTGCCCAGGCTAGAGTGAGTGCCGTGGCGTCAGCCTAGCTCACAGCAACCTCAAACTCCTGGGCTCAAGCGATCCTCCTGCCTCAGCCTTCCAAGTAGGTGGGACTACAGGCATGTGCCACCATGCCCGGCTAATTTCTTCTATATATATTTTTTGTTGGCCAATTAATTTCTTTCTAATTTTAGTAGAGGTGGGGTCTTGCTCAGGCTGGTCTGGAACTCCTGACCTCGAGCAATCCATCCACCTCGGCCTCCCAGAGTGCTAGGATTACAGGCGTGAGCCACCACGCCTGGCCGAATATTTCTTTTGATTAGACTTCTGGCTCCTATAGAATGACTTTCCAAACCACTGTATCCTATTCTAAGGAAGGGAAACTTACCTTGCCTTTTTAATAAAGAAGCAACCACAGGCTTTTTCAGGCCACTTTTCCTTAGATTACTGCTCACTGCATCTTGAGGCAATAGTGAACTGTTCATCTGTGCACCTAAACCACAAATCATTCCAGTGTTTAATAATATGTCTGCAGAACATAAATTGATTTGACATTAATTTCTAAAGACTCTAAAACATATAAACTGTCTTTGCTAAATTCTAGGTTAGTTTCATAGTTTCTAGAAGGAATTAGCATTAGCCTCTTTTTTTTTTTTTTTTTTTTTTTTTTTTGAGACAGAGACTCACTCTGTTGCCTGGGCCAGAATGCTGTTGTCAGGCCTAGCTCACAGCAAACCTCAAAACTCCTGGGCTCAAGTGATCCTCCTGCCTCAGCCTCCCGAGTAGCTGGGATTACAGGCATGTGCCACCATGCTTGGCTAATTTTTTCTATATATTTTTAGTGGCCAATTAATTTCTTTCTATTTTTAGTAGAGACGGGGGTCTCGCTCTTGCTCAGGCTGATTTTGAACTCCTAACCTTGAGCGATCCTCCCGCCTGGGCCTTCCAGAGTGCTAGGATTACAGGTGTGAGCCACTTCGCCCAGCCCTATACATAAAATTTTAACTCTCTCTCTTTTTTTTTTTTTTTTTTGTCATTCGCTTTGTTGCCCAGGCTAGAGTGAGTGCCGTGGCTCAGCCTAGGCTCATAGCAACCTCAAACTCCTGGGCTCAGGCAATCCTCCTGCCTCAGCCTCCCGAGTAGCTGGGAGTACAGGCATGCGCCACCATGCCCAGCTAATCTTTTCTATATATATTAGTTGGCCAATTAATTTCTTTCTATTTATGTAGTTGAGATGGGGTCTCACTCTTGCTCAGGCTGGTTTTGAACTCCTGACCTCGAGCAATCGCACCGCCTCGCTCCCAGAGTGGCTAGATTAGATTACAGGCTTGAGCCACTGCGCCCGGCCAAATTTTAACTCTCTTAAACTCCTTATAGAAAACTGGAGAGAATAAACAGAAGTAAAAGGAAGAAAAAAGTTCACCTATTACTCCCACCTCTCAGACAATCATGATTAATATTCTGGTGAGGTATGTCCCATTTTCTTCTGCATGAATAGTTTGTTTTGCTGGTTTTCTGATTTTAAGTAGCTGTGATTATGCTATGGTTGCTGGATTTATCAAAAAAAATTTCTAGCCGGGCGTGGTGGCTCACGCCTGTAATCCTAGCTCTCTGGGAGGCTGAGGGCGGCCGGATTGCTCGAGGTCAGGATTTCAAAACCAGCCTGAGCAAGAGCGAGACCCGTCTCTATTATAAATACAAAGAAATAATTGGCCAACTAATATATATAGAAAAATTAGGCGGATGGTGGCGCATGCCTGTAGTCCCAGCTACTCGGGAGGCTGAGGCAGGAGGATCGCTTGAGCCCAGGAGTGTGAGGTTGCTGTGAGCTAGGTGACGGCCATGGCACTCACTCTAGCCTAGGCAACAAAGGCGAGACTGTCTCAAAAAAAAAAAAAAAAAAAAAAAAAAAAAATTTCTTTTTCATTTCAGATAAACAACAAATAATTAGTTAGTATAAGTGTATTCCAAATATTGCATGGGAGATAATTATACTAAAAGTTATTTGTTATTTATCTGAAATTCAAGTTCAATTGACCATTTTATACTTTATCTGGTTACCTAAGTGATCTAAACACTTCCCAAATTCTTTTTTTTTTTTTTTTTTTTTTTTGAGACAGCGTCTCATTCTGTCACCTAGGCTAGAGTGCAGTGGTGTCATGTCATTATAGCTCACTGCAACCTCAAATTCCCGGGCTCAATTGATCTTCCTGCCTCAGCCTCCCAAGTTGCTGATACTTCAGGTGTGCGCCACCATGCCCAACTAATTTTTTCTATTTTTGGTAGAGACGGGGGTCTTGTTCTTGCTCAGGTTGGTCTCAAACTCCTGGCTTTAAGTGATCCTCCTGCCTCAGCCTCCCAGAGTGCTAGGATCATAGGCATGAGCCACCAAGCCTGGCTGAACATTTTCCCAAATTCTTTATAATCATTTTTAATGGCCATCTAACATTTTATGATAAAGTGGCTTGACCAGGCTTCATTTTACTATCCCCAGTTATTGGACCTTAGTTGTTTCTAATTCTTTAATATTATAAATAATCATAAAATGAATTATCTCTGGACAAAATGTTTTATTTCCTTAAAAAAGATTATTTAGAAGTGGGACTGGGTTCCATGGCCATTACTGGGACTAGGTTCCATGGCTCACACTTATAATCCCAGCATTTTGTGAGGCTGAGTTGGGAGGATCCCTTGAACCCAGGAGTTTGAGGCTACAGTGAGCTATGATCACACCACTGAACTCCAGCCAGGGTGACAGAGATGTAAGGTAAGGGTAAATGTAGAGGTAGGGAAAGGTAAGGTAAGGTAAGAAGCAGGACTATTGAGTCAAAGGGTAAGAACTGTTTTTTAAAATAAGTAAACATTTAACAACAATCTCTGTTCTATATTCCTGCCAGAATTGCCTCCCTAAAACACAGAAATGACCATGTCACTTTGTTTCTCCAACTTTCTTCAACTTCCCAGCACCAAACTGCATGACCACCTGGCATGCCTCCATCAATATTCCCTATGGGGACCATTTTAAGGTTCTTAACAGATAGTGCAAGGTACTTACAAATCGTTATAGCAAGGTACACTGTACTAGCCATGCTGGAGAACCCAGATTTCACCTTTGCCTTTTGTCTCATCATTTAAAAAAAAATCTTTGCAGCCGGGCGCGGTGGCTCACGCCTGTAATCCTAGCACTCTGGGAGGCTGAGGCGGGCGGATTGCTCGAGGTCAGGAGTTCGAAACCAGCCTGAGCAAGAGTGAGACCCCGTCTCTACTATAAATAGAAATAAATTAATTGGCCAACTAATATATATATATAAAATTAGCCGGGCATGGTGGCGCATGCCTGTAGTCCCAGCTACTTGGGAGGCTGAGGCAGCAGGATTGCTTGAGCCAGGAGTTTGAGGTTGCTGTGAGCTAGGCTGACGCCACGGCACTCACTCTAGCCTGGGCAACAAGCGAGACTCTGTCTCAAAAAAAAAAAAAAAAAAAAAAAAAATCTTTGCTAATTTGGTAGCAAAAGGTATCCTTTTAATTTTTCATTTCTAAAATGTTTGCATTTCTCTGTTTACTAATGAGTTTGGAGTTTGGTCCACATGTGTGGACCAAAGTTAATATTTTCATTTAGAGTCTAGACAGACACTTGACACCTGCTAGCATACTTCAGCATTTTCATATTGATTTATATGAGTCCTTAAGTGACAGTGGTATTATTTGAATTTAAAAAGATGTATATGTGTGTATCTCCACATATTGAAAATACAGATAATAAACTATATTCTTAAATTAGTGTGGGAAATATAACTTACCATTGTCACAAGTTTTTTAATAAACCCACTATGGATGAAAATGTCATAATACTGTCCTAAGGCAGATTAAGGTATAAGATTAACCTGAAGGTTTAAGAGATGAACAAACATATACAATAAAAGTGGAGTTTGGTTGGATCTTATTTTTGGCCAATAAAACCACTTTTAGTTTGACTTGACAAAGAAACATCAGTAAAGAGTAAAATGTTTTTCAGGAAAAAAGAACAGCAAAAACTACTTCTTGTATCGCTGAGATTCTGTGCAAGACATAAAACACAGTGAAACCATCTCTAAAGACAACACACAAAACCAACCAACCAGCCTCTCACCAGATACTTCATCCTTTTTCCTCTTCTTTGGCTTAGAGGCAGTAGACTCACAAGCTGATACTGTTGGTTCTGAATGGCAACCTAACTGGGGCACAATAATCTCTTTAAGACCTAAAAAACAAAAGATTTCTGAATTACTAATACTACACAAGAATAAGTATGAAAAATTACTATCTATTGAAAAATTTATTTATAAAAATACATATCCTCAAAACAAATTATAGGGTGATTGCCTTCTTTGAAAAAAGTTCATTTAAAGCCAGGCACAATGGCAGTAGTCCCAGCTACTGGAGGCTGAGGTGGGAAGATCCCTGGAGCCCAGAAGTTTGAGATTACTCTGGGCAACCTAGCAAGATCATGTCTTTTTTAAATGTGAGACAGAGTCTTACTCTGTTGCCCAGGCTAGAGTGCCGTGGTGTCAGCCTAGCTCACAGCAACCTCAAACTCCTGGGCTCAAGCTATCCCCTGCCTCAGCTTCCCAAGTACCTGGGACTTCAGGTGTGTGCCACCACACCCAGCTAATTTTTTTCTATTTTTGGTAGAGATGGGAGTCTTGCTCTTGCTCAGGCTGGTCTCGAACTCCACTCCGGGCCTCAAGTGATCCTCCCGCCTCGGCCTCCCAGAGTGCTAAGATTACAGGCGTGAGCCACCACACCTGGCCAAGACCATGTCTCTTAAAAAAAAAGTTATTTTAAAAAACTTTCCAAAACATGTGCTTTTGTTCATAGACAATCTGATAAAAGGACATGCAGAGTAATGTAAAACAAAAAAGTTGGGAGCTGCTGCCAGCTAAAGATCACTGAGAAATAAAAAGTGTCTGTAAGATAAAAATATGTTAACAACAAAAGACTTGATGAAGTAACTTTTAAAAGTCTTCTTTTGGCTGGGTGTGGTGGCTCACGCCTGTAATCCTAGTACTCTGGGAGGCCGAGGCAGGCAGATGGCTCAAGGTCAGGAGTTCGAGACCAGCCTGAGGAAGAGTAAGATCCTGTCTCCACTAAAAATAGAAAGAAGTTAATTGGCCAACTAAAAATATACAGAAAAAATTAGCTGGGCATGGTGGTCCATGCCTATAGTCCCAGCTACTCAGGAGGCTGAGGCATCGCAGGAGGATCGCTTGAGCCCAGGAGTTGGAGGTTGCTGTGAGCTAGGCTGAGGCCACGGCACTCTAGCCCAGGCAACAGAGTGAGACTCTGTCTCAAAAAAAAAAAAAATTTAAAAGTCTTCTTTTGAGCAAGATGCTAGTTTTCCTCATCTTCAAAGATAAGAAACAAGCAAGCAAGCCAGAATAAAATTTTTTGCTCATTCTTTGTTTTTATTAACATAGTGCTTCTATGGAATAGTAAAAAAAATCGAAGTAGAGCTAGCTAACTTTGCTAGATTATGTCAATGAAGTGGCCATTTCTCTTGGTCATGAATTTCAACCAACCAACCAACCAACCAACCAACCAACCAACCAACCAACCAACCAACCAACCTTTATGCAAATATGCTAACTGGGATTAAAAAAGGAATGCTTTTCACATGAATTATCCAGCAACTGCTTCTGACAGTTGCTAGGACAATCTCCACATGCACCAGTGGAACTCTTTCATTGCCATTTTAGAAAAACAGAGTAACTGTGTCAACCACACCACCTACCGCTGGAATCAAAATTTAGGAAGTCTGAGAATTCCTGAGCCAATGTCTCGTCACTGGCAAAGGCACAGATGCAAGCAAAGAAATGAATGCATCTCTGGGCTGCCTCGTCCTTGGAGGCATTCAACTTGTGGGATTTCAGAGTCTGGCAGGAGCAGAAGAAGCGGCGCTCAGGCAAGCTTTTGGCACTGATTTTCTGCACAAAAGATGTATGCAAATACCCCAAACTATGCTTCTGGCTTGCCTTGCATTTCACCACCAAGATGTTTTTAGTAATCCTCTGTACCAGGGGACCCGTGGGTTCTGTGGCCAACTGCCAGATGGTCTGTTTGGTTTCTGGGGAAGCCTGCATTGCATTTAGGACTGAGCTCTTCAAGGTCAGAGGTGTGGCCTCTGCCTGGCAGTTCACTGCCAGCTTGATGTGCTGGCACTGGTTTTCCACAACGCCTTGGGTGGCAGCCTTCAGGCATGAGGGGACATAGCACCGCCCAGAGCTCAGCTGAGTGATGATGGTCCCATCTACTGTCTGGATCGTTGTCTCCGAAACACCCAGCTCCACAAAGCATCGGTAATCAGGGCCCCTGTCTCTTTGCCGCACTGAGTAGACCTGCAGGTCAGAGCCTGTGATGATTTTGACAGCTTCAACACTAGGCTGCTTCCGTGCACCGTATCGAAATATGGTTCCACATGTCTTGTTCTTACAGCTCAGTCCCCGGGTTCCATTGTATGTGCCGCATCGGGGACACTTTCTGATTCCCCTCAATGTGGCCTTCCCCAAGTCAGATAAGAAAGCTGGGACTTTAGTCCTCAGAGAGTTTGATTCCATTTTTTCACAGGCCCTACAACAGGCAATAAGCTCATCAGCATGAGTAGACATTCAAACACATATACAAAGTTCAAATCACTTACGATACTCAGTACAGAAAGTGAAATGTAAAGAAGCTATCCACCATTTTTAAACTGTACCACAAAACAACATAAATTTAAACCCTCAAACAAAATAAACGTGAAGGAAACTTTGCCTTCCATATCTCTCTGTATTTTAAAAAATCGTAGCATAGGGGGAGGGGGGCAAGGGTAATATACATAACCTTAACATTTGTATCCCCATAATATGCTGAAATAAAAAAAAATCCTAGCATAACAATAAAAGCATTTCTCCAGGTTTAACCCTTTTCTATACAACAGATGAGGTTAGTTAACCTAATCTTTATGTGCACAGATGTTTAAATTTAGCAAGGACTGGAGAACAGGAAAGATGAGTCCCTTACCTTCTACCATTACCCACAAAACCCAGCAAAATCCTACCTGTACCAGCTGCCAGGGCATCTGGAAAACACTGTTACCTGAATTCATAAGACCTAAAAGATGTTTCATTAGTTTCTGATGATCAGAGAGGACAGGTGAAGACATAATCACTTGCAGAGTAAATGATACTGCTCAGCCTGCAGTCTTCTGAAGTCTGAACACTGTGGTGTAACAATGCAGACATTCTGCTGCCTCTTTCTTGACCATCCAATGGCAAAGCTCCTGCCCAATGTTCCACAGTCAAAGAAGATTCCCACTGCCCTAACTGGAGATCTTGACAGCCTATAAGTAAAATCAGAAAAAAATATTACAGTTATACAAAGACAGGATGATCCTTTCCTCTTAGAAATCAAAGAGAAAAGGAATCTGAGTCTTTCACAATTACTTGAGAAATGTTTGATAGACATTTTTATGAAAATGGTTAAGTGTTTTGTACTTCCAACCACAAGAGGGCAAAACAGTGCTACTGTCATTAGAGAGGGTTGTCAGGAACACCTACAGCCATGCTATGTAACTGGTCAAACACTCATCCTTCCTAATAGTAATACATTGCATTTTTAGAGAGCTTTGTGCTTTTCAAAGTACTTTCACATTATTACATTTGAGAGCGCTGAATCCTAACCACTAGACCACCAGGGAGCGACTCATTATCACATTTGAATTTAACAATGTTAATATCTTATTTAAACCAAACAACTGTTCTACAGATAAACATAAAGAAGTTGGCTGGGCACAGTGGTTCACATTTGTAAGTCCCAGCACTTTGGGAGGCTGAGGCGAGAAGAGCACTTAAGGCCAGGAGTTTCAAGACCAGCCTGAGCAACATGGCGAGACCCCTTCTATACAAAAAAAAATTTTTAATTAGCTGGGTGTGGTGACACTCACCTGTAGTCCTAGCTACTGAGAGACTGAGACAGGAGGATTGCTTGAGCCAGGGAATTTGAGGTTGCCATGAGCTATGATCTCCCACTGCCCTCCAGCCCTGGAGACAGAGTGATACCCTATCTCAAAAAAGAAAAAAACAATAGTTAAGTAACTTGCCTGAGGTCACCTAGAGAAATTGGCAATGCAATTTCCACTAACCCACAGAATCTAAGAAGAGTGTGAATCTCTACTTGAGATTTTCCTCCAATATTTTATTATGAAAAATTTCAAACATTTAGAAAACTAGAATTGTACAGTGAACCCTCCCATATACCCACCTACTAGAGGTTATAATTAACATTCTACTTTATCTGCCTTATCACATCTATTTATCCATCCCTCTCTCCATTCATCAATCTCTTTGCAGTTATCAGTTCAGCATGCATATTATTAGCTAAAGTTCATTTTTTTCTGAGATAGAGTCTCCCTCTGTTGCCCAGGCTAGAGTACAGTGGCATCAGCCTAGCTCACAGCAACCTTTAACTCCTGGATTCAAGCGATCCTTCTGCCTCAGCCTCCGGAGTAGCTGGAAATACAGACCCACACCACCATATCTGGCTAACTTTTTTCTATTTTCAGTAGAGATGGGGTCTTGCCCTTGCTTAGGCTGGTCTCAAACTCCTGAGCTCAAGAGATCTACCTGCCTCAGCCTCCCAGGGTGTGAGGATTATAGGCATGATCCACCTCGCCTGGCCTAAAGTTCATTTTTTAAAAAATTTTTTTCTAGAGACAGGGTCTTTTTCTGTCACACAGGCTGGAGGGCAGTAGTGTGATCATAGCTCACTGCAACCTCAAATTCCAGTGCTCAAGTGATCCTCCCACCTTAACCTCCCTAGTAGCTGGGACTATGGGCAGGCACCACCATGCTGGGCTAGCTTTTAAAAACTTTTTTATAGGGACAGGTCTTGCTATGTTACTCAGTCCTCAAGAATCCTCCTGCCTCGGCCTCTCAGGGTGCTGGGATTACAGGCATGAGCCACTGTGCCCAGCCCAAGTTCATTATTATTCAGTTATTATTATTGTTGGGTTTTTTTGAGACAGAGTCTCACTCTATCACCTGGGCCAGAGTGCAGTGGTGTCAGCCTAGCTCACTGCAACCTCAAACTCCTGGGCTCAAACGATCCTCCTGCCTCAGCCTTCTGAGTAGCTGGGACTACTGGTGCACACCACCATGCCCAGCTAATTTTTCTATTTTCTGTAGAGACAGGGTCTTGCTCTTGCTCAAGCTGGTCTCAAACCCCTACCCTCAAGCAATCTTCCTACCTCAGACTCCCAGAATGCTAGGATTACAGTGGTGACCCATAGTGCCCAGCCCAAATTCTTTATTTTTAATCCTTTTTATTTTATTTTTAAGGTAATCTGTATTATTTAGGGCCACAGGTTAAAAAAAAATAAATAAAAAGTAAATAAAGGTAATTTGCTTGTAACTTTTAAATAGGCTGTTAACATTGCTTTCTCATCCCATCCCAAGAAATGGTCTTTTTTTTTTTTGAGACAGAGTCTCACTGTGTTGCCCAGGCTAGAGTGAGTGCCATGGTGTCAGCCTAGCTCATAGCAACCTCAAACTCCTGGGCTCAAGCAATCCTGCTGCCTCAGCCTCCCGAGTAGCTGGGACTACAGGCATGAGCCACCATGCCCGGCTCATTTTTTATATATATATATCAGTTGGCCAATTAATTTCTTTCTATTTATAGTAGAGACGGGGTCTCACTCTTGCTCAGGCTGGTTTCGAACTCCCGACCTTGAGCAATCCACCTGCCTCGGCCTCCCAGAGTGCTAGGATTATAGGCGTGAGCCACCTCGCCCGGCCTAAACACCATTTTTAATAGCTGTACAGTAATCTGTAGTGTCAAAATACCATGGCTTGATCAGCTCTACTGATGAGTTTTTAGTTGTAGACAATATTGCAGTGAACATCCTAAACATTTATCAGAATGAATAAATGCAAATTTTCTAGTAGAAGAGATTCTGAACATTGTTTCTAGTTTTCTTAAAAATTATTTGGGTGAGGTGGCTCACACCTGTAATCCTAGCACGTTGGGAGGCTGAGGTGGGAGGATCACTTGAGTTTAGGAAACTAGGCTGAGCAAGAGCCAACCTCTACTAAAAACAGAAAAATTACCTGGGCATGGTAGCATGCCTATAGTCCCAGCTACTGGGAAGGCTGAAGCAGGAAGATCACTTGAGCCCAGAAGTTTCAAGTTGCAGTGAGCTATGATGATGCCACTGCACTCTACCTGGGGCAACAGAGCAAGACTCTGT